AAATGTTCTGTAAAAAGACACCACCAAAATATAAACTAAAGTAAATTTAAAGTGGAAAAGATAAGGAAAACAGTTTGGAAGTCAAAGGTAGATCTATTGATCAATATAATTAGTTGAAAAATATATATATAGACAAGAAATCAAACAAACCATCCTTGGCGAGGTCATGTTCACTGGGAATGTGACCAACGTGAATGTAGAAAGAGACTGTTTCTGGTGTAGAATAAGGATTATGGAAACAGAATTTGTACATTCCACTTCTTGGGGCCTTAAACTCAAATTTGTCCCCTGATGTTCCTTTCAAAGTATGGACCGTATTACCTCCGGGAGATGTCACCTGCATCAAGAAGCAATAAGAACTATTAAAAAATTAAATTCAATTAATGTAAGATACATATATAACATTAAGCTATAAAACGCATGTGAGCAACTATCCAGTATAACATTAGCAATCATCTCAGTCAAATCATCACTAAACAGAGCAAGAGTACTCATCATTAGAAGTAAGCTCAGCAAAATCAATGATCTTTCACAAGTGAGGTTCCAAAAGCCAATCACTGGCTCACTTCTCAGATAATGTCAAATGACACATGTCTAATAAATTGAAACGGTCGAGCAATCTTGTCACTTTTTTACATCCGAAATTCAGAGGTTTTTTTCCTAATAATTTTATGCTTCCTTCTTGTCTTAAATGAACATTCTTAGTAAAATCTTCCTTTAGTGAGCAAAAGATAATCCGTGGTGGATAAAAAGAACTACAGAGACGGGAACTTTACTAGTTGATTGAACATAAAATTTTGCCTACACAACTTTAAGGACGAGATATTCAAGTGCAATCTTTAATATCTAAATGAAGGAAATAAGGCACTATACTGTAAGTGCATTTGCGTATATCATGATCTTGAATTAGATTGGTAAGAAAGTCTTCCCCCTTTTTCATGGATTTAATTAAGATTCTTTAGATTCATAAGGAGCTTCTTGAGTAACCATGCCCTTTAAATTCAATGTGTCGCGGCAGCAAATTTCACATGAATTGTCTTCCTACACTATAAAAACAACCATGAAATATGGAGGCTATGATTTCAAATACTTTACAGTTTTTCCATACTTCTGAAAATATTATCACATTCAGGAAATAAATCTTGAATTTATTCAAGTCGAAGTTAAAATCTGAACAATCCAATTTCCTTCATTTCCCTTCTCTTTTCCCATGACCCGAAAATCCTTTTAGGATAACGGAAAATAGGCAAAGCATTCAATCAATCATAAATATCAGTTAATACATACAGAGATATGATTCAATATCTGAAGTCTTAATTCAGAAAAAGTAAAAACCAATACTTTTATAAAATGGTCAAATATTGATATGGTTAATTCAATAGCATTTATAAAACACAAATTTTACAAATTCTTAATCAAATACTAAAACAAAAAATTCACCAAAAAAGTACAAATCAAGAAAAGTTAAAATGAAAAAACCCCTTTAAAAAATCAACTAAAATCACATAAAAAATATTAAATAAAAGTTTAGATTTTTCTCCAAAAATACCAACACCCAGATCCCATCCACACCAGTTGAACTCACTTTCAGACAGATCAAGCTAACTTGCAACGTACATAGAGAGAATGGGTCTTATTACAGTGAGATCAATGCCGGGGTGATCTGAACTCCAGAAAATATCGTGGTCAACAACGACGAAATTTCCCGAAACGGTGTCACCTTCGTACAATACGTATTCGTATACGCATTCTTCTTCGTTCACCGTTACCGATAGAGCCGATAAACGGGTCACCAAGCTCAACAGCAACAAGCCCGTCAAGGCGTACGCCGCCTTGCTGCTACACCGGAATCTCCCACTCCTACTCTCCATTTTTCGATGGCGATTGTATCGTAATGAAAATTGAAGAAAAAGGAAATTGAAAATTCTTTTAAATTCAAGAAGTGTTATTTCCTCGTGGAGCATAGTTATTGGTTGGAACAACGCAATATATTGATGATGTGGCATTACATAACCAAATATCCAAATAATTTACATTAGTTAAAGAAATTCTTACCACATCATATTCCATATATGTAAAATTTAAATTATTATATACAATCGTTATTCATCAATAGCTGAAGCACCGTCACTTTTCTTTCTACACCGTTAGCGAAACCTTCAAATAATCCAAATTATATAAATATTGAATTGAATCGATAGTGCTAATGAAATGTTATAAAACTACAAACGAAAAAAGAATAAGAAAATTGATATTCTTGTGTGTATTTCATTCTACTGTTCAAATTAGAGTTACCAACTGATTAATGGTCCATTTGACTTAATTTTGAAAGAATAAGACTCCATTTTTTTTCATTGTAAAATACTTCTAGAGCAGATTTTACCAGAAGTTTGATTATTTCCGATTATCATTATTATTCTAGTTTCGTAATCTTGAACACCATCTTTGAACCTTAAAAACTCTGGACAACCATCACCCAAACCACCGAACTCCCTACAATTGGGCAGCCCTCACTCCCCTCTACACATACACCTAGTCACCAGCCCTAACGTCACGATATTTCTCCGAAATCGATTGCCAAAATCAGCAACTTGTCAACACAAAAACAGACTACATCACCTTCTCCGACCAAGCCAACCACCACCCAAACCACCGAAACTTCATACCATTGGGCAACTCTCATTCATCTTTACACATACCACCCAACTACCAACCCTAACGTCACCAATTTTGTCGGAATTGATGGCCAAAATCAGCAACATGTCAACATAAAAATCGACTACATCACCTTCTCCGACGAGACCAATGCCCTTTCCTTCATATCGATCGATTATACCTATTCATGGTCTTGCAATATTAATAAATCCACACGATCAAAATTTACAGTCCCATTTTTCGAATCAAGCGAAAATGCAACTTTCATTCTCAATTTATGCCACCGATGGTGGGACCCATGAACGCGGACCACCCATTGGCATCATCTGATCACAACGTAGCAATTCCACCTATGGATATTCAACAATTCAGCCTCCATATGACAGATCGAACATGGATAGTAAGTACGTGCGAGGAAGATTTTGGCCATCGATTTCGATCAAATCTTGTGATGTTAAGGCTGGTGGTTAGGTGGTATGTGTAGAGGGGAATGAAGTCTATCTAATGATATAGAGTTCCGGTGGTTTGGGTGGTGGTTGGCCGGAACTTTTAAAGTTGAAAAGTGGTAGCGTAGGTTGGATTTTTAATTATACATTGGGGACTCATTTGTAATCTTTTCAAATTTTGGAACCATGATTCTAATTTGTCCTTTATTTTTTCTTTATTTTTTTTATTTAAATAGGAGTGCATTTTCGTCATTTCACAGCTTTTAATTAAAGAAATAGATGTAGATGAAAATAATGATTTCCGCAATGAAACGTAAGGGTGAAAATGTAAAAATTTAAAACGTAAGGATGTTTTGCACATTAAAGGCGAAACGTATGAACGTTTTGTGCTAATGAGCATTTAAAAAATTACAGGTCAAACATTGAATTATTGAAAAAGACTGATGAAAAATTATAAAGAATCAGGATCCAAAACAATCTCAAGTAAATTATTTTAGAACAAATTGAGCAGGCAATTGGACAATTTTAATTAATTTTCTCTTTTTTTTTATTTCATTTCTTTAAAATGATATTTCAGAAGAAATTCACCCAGAGTAGGTGGAAGCTAATGTTAATTGGCTGAGGTCTCCATCAGATTACAAATGGAAGCATCACTTAACTAATTGATTAATTCATTTTTCTTTTTCCCTTATCATTAATTTTTATAAACCCTAGTTTTTTGAAGTTAAATGCATAATTTGCCAATAACTCACTTTAAAATCTCATCTTCTTTGAATTTTTCAGGTGGATTTTTCCTGTATAGGGCAGAATGGAGCAGAAGCCTCAGATGCTGGTGCCAAGACTGAAATTGGGCACCCAAGGCCTGGAGGTAATACCTTTCTTTCAATCTTATTTATAAAATATATATTTTTATTGATCCAAATTGGAAATAAGTTAGTTTTAGTGAAATTTAAGAAAAAAAGAGTAACTTATCTAAAAATATTAGGAACAGCGAATGTTATTTTTACTTATCTTTAAGCTCATCCGAACATGGATATGCATCTGATCAAAGACTGTAAAGTTACAAATTTTCTTGATAGGCAATTGTAAACATCGAGGCTGTTTAGTATGGAGAAACTCTGTTTCTGTGGTTGATCAGTCTCTATTTTCTATATCTTTTACTTGATCACAGTGTTGTGAAAACAAAGACCAGACAGCAGTAGATTTTATACTGATTGCTCGAAAAACTTGTGTTTATAAAATAGAAATGATAATTCAGAAAATTTTATACTTTAGTTGAGATTGAATGCTGCACGCTGTAGTTTGCTTTATTGCATGTGTTAGGTAGCCTTATTGGTAGACGAAACAACGAAAGTGTTGATGATGATTTATTAGAAATACTAAGGCTATCTTTGGTGGCACGAAACTTGAGACTTAGACTGGAGAAGTACCTTCTGAATGTGAATTGATCTTTTGTATATTCCAGTTCCAGTGTCTTTAAGCATAGTGAGGGTATGTGCTCCTTGAATTTTAAAGATACAAATGAACCTTTTCTGAGTAACATTAAGTGAAGTTTTAGCATTTCTTTTCTTGATCCGTGAATAATTAGAATATAATTTCCATAGTTCCGGTGGGCAAGCATGTGAGGTACAATTCATCTAACTTTTACAATAACTTGCTGCCATCTGATTCTTGTCTACAAAATTAGATCTTGAAGTCAGCTGATTCCTGTTTGACTCCAATAAAGATCCTAACTTTATGCTACCTTCATGGAACCAATTTCCCTTTGTTAAGGATTGGCATCAAGTGAAAAAGGAATATTTCTAAATAATAATCTTTTCTTTTTTATAACCGAGAACCCAAAGGGCTTTTGTCCCTGGTTGTCCAGTCCCATTCGATCCATGGTTCTATTACATTGGTAGCTTAATGTTATGTTCACGAGGATTAAGCCCAGCAAAATGAGCATAATGGTTGTAAAATAGACAATGGTTAGTATCTTGCTTAGCAAGACTTGCTCCGTAATAATGAGAGTGGCATCATGATTGAGAGGTCTTTTGCGTTCAGGTTTCTAAACTTGGTTTTGGTTGTGGGGGACTTTCTGGCATACTAAATGCTCCACTCTCGCATGAAGCTGGATGTGCGATTCTAAAAGAAGCATTCAATAAGGGTATCACCTTCTTTGACACCGCTGATGTCCATGGACAGGAGGGCGACAATGAGATCATGATTGGCAAGGCAATTCTGTCACTTGAAAATTATAACAGGCCATTGAATACCCTGTACTTATTTTCAGAAAATTCATCATCTTTAAGAGACATAATTTGGTTGTTTACTATGATTTATTAGGCATTAAAAGAGTTGCCTCACGAACAAGTTCAACTAGCAAGTAAATTTGGCATTTATAGGATGGATTTCACTCAATTAGAGGTCAAAGGAACTCCTAAGTATGTGCAGCAATGCATCGACGCCAGTCTTAAGCGGCTGAATGTGGATTACATTGATCTGTATTATCCGCACCGAACAGACATATCTGTGCCAATAGAAGAAACAGTTAGTATTAGAAGAAAATTCCTTCTATTTATGTTACTATGTGATTTTTCTGCATTTCCACTAGACTGCCCCTTAAATTTGTTTTCTTTCTTTCCCTTTTTTGTCTTTCTCCTTTGAATTGATTATGGAGAAAAGATGAGGGAGCTAAAGAAGCTAGTGGAAGAGGGAAAGATTCGATACATTGGTTTGTCCGAAGCTAGTGTGGATACAATCAAGAGGGCACACGCAGTTCATCCAATAACCGCTGTAGAAATGGAGTATTCTCTATGGACTCGTGAAATTGAAGAGGATGTAATCCCACTTTGTAGGTAAGTTAAAAATTTGTAATTTTGTGTTGTCTCCCAATGTTATATGAAAAAAAAAAAAAGAAAAATTAGATATTCATCTTCATGGTGTTGGACTTTGGCCTAGATGAGAAATACTAAGAAGAAAAATACCAAAATAAGGAGTTTGCACCAATATTACGAGATGAATAAATTTTCCCTCCTCTTTGATTCAGGAAACTTGGTATTGGAATAGTAGCGTATAGCCCTCTTGGTCATGGATTCTTTGCTGGGAAGGCAATTGTGGAGAGCTTGCCTTCAGAGAGTTTTCTAGTAATATTTTCGTAATTTCTTTTCATCTTTAGTCCTCCTTCATGACATATTTGGTAAGATGGATTAGACAGTAATGAGCTATATTAAATAAGAAAAATAATTTAAATTAATTATTTTGTTGTTCTAGAATAAGCATCCAAGGTTTGTTGGAGAGAATCTAGAGAAGAACAAAGTACTATATGCTCGTTTTGCCAATTTAGCAGCCAAGCATTCTTGCACTCCTCCTCAACTAGCTCTGGCATGGCTTCTCCATCAGGGAGATGATGTGGTTCCGATACCTGGTAAGCATGCAAAAGTCGCACTGTGTCATTGACAATATTTTCTAAAATCTCGACTGGTGAAATGTTATTTAGTCTGAAAGGTTTTGATCTTAAGGTGAATGATATACAGGAACAACAAAGATTAAGAACCTTATTGACAACATTAATTCTCTAGCTGTCAAGCTGACACCTGATGACTTGAAAGAAATAGCTGATGCAATTCCCATTGATCAAGTTGCTGGAGAAAGAGAAGTGGTCCTCTACTCAAAATACAACTATAAATTAGCTAATACCCCCAAAAAGCACTAGTAATGTGAGGAAAATATTCCCCTAAACTATAAACCTTAAATGTGCGTCTGTGCCTGGTACTCTTTTGGATAAGAAAGGCTAAACTTTTTATGGTATTCGACCAGATCATTTGAGTGGCATTGTTTTTCAGTATTGTTTACTTTATTCTCGTGCTATTACAATTGTTGTAATGGCAATTCTCGTGTGTGATATTATTTGGTTTAAAGTGCAAACTTCATGGTGTGTACTTCCTGATCATTGAAAGGGTTGTCAGCTTTTGGTGATCTTCCTGATACTGTAAAATCTTATTAAAAAATTCTCAAATAAATACCCGAAAAACACCTATCCGCTTAGTTTCATTACACTTTTGAGATTCCTCAAGGGAGGTGACTCCAATAGAAATTCCACTCTTACATGCCAAAATAGAGACAGCAAGGATGTATATTACAGATTCCTTTTTCTCCCTCGATATTTTGGTTTTCTCAATCAAACAAGTAACGCTTACCAATATTGATTTGTTCGACGAAGCTTTCAAACAAGTAATGTACCTTTTTTCTATGTATTTCTTGTCAGTAATTTTATTTCAGATTAAAATAGTTGATATTTGAAACAAAGTAGACAACTCCAAAATTAACACCTGG